TAAACCCCCCCCCCCCCCCCCCCCCGGCCCCCGCGGATGGCAAATACTTTGCAAGACAGGAAACGTGGCTGCACCTGCCACTATGCGTTTAGTGCTGCGGACCACCTCGGAAAGTTTCACCATGGCCATGTCGGGATAGGTCCTTGGCTACAGCAAGCCCAGAAAATATCAGGCATGGGACCGCCCTTCCTGCGACAAGTCATGGCCCTAAGCTCGAGGCATGTAGGGCCATGGATCATGGGCGGCATCTCAGCACTTTTCCAACGTTCTTTCCCGACACGACTTAAGGTTTAGACTAACGGCTTACACAGGTTTAGATCTTCGCCCCTGCTCAGAAGCCCAAAGGCTAACGTTGGTTGCTGTTTGCACACACGAGCACAAGGTTTAAGTCGCCCCAGCTGAAGTCGCCCCAAGCCCGAGCCCCGTGGCACACTGCATGGGAGTGAAGTCACCCAGGCGGGGGGATGTCAGCCCAACAACAGTTAGACTTTAGCCATTTCCGCAAGGGCACAGCTAGTAAGGATTTTAGGGTCAAGGGTTTAGGGTCTGGGGTGCAGGGTTCAGGGTTTGAAGTTTATGAGCTTAGGGGTTTAGAGTTGAGGGCTTAGGGTTCTTGACACCGTCCGAAGGTCTGGCTCACCGAAACGGACTGCGACTCATCTGACAAGAGAAGTCGGCGCTTCGCCGATAGGCTTGGAAGGAGCGTCGAGCTCATCTCCTAAGTATGGCACACATTCCCGATGGCAGTTCATGAGTTGAGCGGCACAATCTTGCAGGGCAGCAAGAAATCGCCAGAGCATGCCAAGACAACAAGGGTAATTCTACGGACGGCCAAGCGACTTCAGGCGGAAGAGAGAAGATGTGGTGGCTTTCATCGTAGACCACCATGTCACACTTTTCTGGGCCAGGTTCGGCCACACGTCGGAGTATGCGATCGCCGTCCAGGGAGGGCACCTGGAAGTGTTGGAAGGGGCTGTGCAGCAAGGTGATTCTGGAGAGCACCTGCTGGATCCTGCTTTGCACGAGCCCCGGATCGCTGTGATGCTTTCCTAGGCTGTCTCGGAGTCTTGCAGACATGCGCAACAAAAACACCTTTCGCACTGAGGAACGGCCCGGTGTTTCTGCGCCGAGCTTCGCGATGCGAGTCGCGTAGAGAGCCAGCGAATGAAGTGAAGGCCAAGGTTTCCGGAGGGAGCGACGTAGAGCAGACAGGCTGAGGGATGGGAGAAGAGATGCTCGAGCACGTGCTGCACCGCAACAAAGGTCTTTCCGGCACCCGCTGGGGCAAAGAGATGAACGTCGTCGAGGCCCTCCATCTCTTTCAGCTTCACCTGGATCGTGCTTCACAGTTGTTTGCAAACTGACCGCAATTCAACCCCTATGCAGCCCCCTGCTTGACAAACCCGTTTTGACAAGGCATGACTCCTCGGCGATCAACAACATCGCTTTTCATGATCATCTCAATAAAGCAAGGGTGTTGTTACTACTTAGCTGTCTACACTACCCGAATGCTCCCGCTCCACCTGCTGATGCTCGGTCAGCTCCTTCAAGCCCAGAAGACTATCCTCGTAGAGCTCGAAGAGCCGACCCTTGTCGAACTTGACCTTGAACTCCTCAGTTCTGGGTGTCACTGGTTGTCATATATATATATGTGACACGTATCTTCTGGTTACCGCCTGTGCTTAAACTTACAGAAATTCCCAGGAAGAACCCACGTGACACAAGAAAGGACAATGGATCCATGCAGGACAGAGGTTCTGGAGCTCCGCGCGCCAGGCCTTCGTTGACGCTCCGATCGAAGTCGCCGCTCAAGACGCGATCTCTCAGTGCCAGGAGCGACTCGACGTTCGGGATTTCAATGCCAATGCTCAGCGCCGGGGTGCCGCTGCGGAGGCGGCAGGCGGTGGGATGGCGCAGTTCTACGTCCGCCAGGCATTGGCGCAAAGCAGGCTCCAGGATGTCCCCTTAGCATGAGGCAGGCTGGACCCTGCTGTCCGTCCCAAAAATCTGCTCCAGGAGGTGTCTTGACTTTCAGGACTGCCAAAAAAAAGAGAGCAATCGATCCCGAAAGGTCTCGAAGTATGCCACACGCCCACTGAAACAACTAGCATACCTAGCATACCTAGCATTCAGACATCAACTCGGGCCGCCACCCCAACGGTGCAACAGCTGCTCAACCGCCACGTTGAGGTGTCGGACTTGTCTGGCCTCAAAGATGTCCTTCGTGGTTTTGGGAAGGTTCTTCGAGTCGATAGTTGTGCCCTAAACCCTAAACATCCCCGAACCCTAAATACAAAACTCACTTCAAAAGCCTCCGAGTATCTCCAGAGTCGTCACACTTGATCTGCCAGACAAACTCCGTGGACGCATCGCCGGACTCGGTTTTAGTCACTTTTTCCATCTGCTTTACCACAATGCCCTTGCGCCATCTGGAGACAGCTTCGGTCTCATGCAGAGCATCCACTTCGGCACCCAGCGGAAACTCGTTCTTGAGAAAAGCCGTGACATCCACCTCCTCATAATCCCATCCGGGATGTTGCTTCTGCATGAGGTTCGCCGTTGCCAGCTCGGATTTCTGCGAGCCACCACATCCGACCTCGGCTGTTCCGTTGGGGCGCCGAAGACAGTGGACACTGTTCTACTACGGGTCCCGTGCAGCTGAAGGTGATGTAAGTACAGCTTCTTCTCGGACCGGGGTCCCTGCTTCACGTTTAGGTATGTCGCAAGATTCCTTCGGCCTGCATGGTTTCCTCATGTCGTTGGATAAGAGCCAGCGCAGGCCACGACTCCAAATCCTAAACCTCCAGAAACCTCCCCCTAAGCCTTCAATCAACGAGCGGGAGCTCTCGAACTGAACTTAAAAATACACCCTCAACTTGACTCTCAACCATAGTCCCAAAGGCCTCAAAGCGGCCCAAATTCCGAAAACCTAGACTCAACCACAACGTGTGGGCCCCCTAAGTTGGAGCTGTGTCTCCCCGTCCCAGAGGTCCACCTCGCAGTCGGAGAGGTCCTCCATGGTGGGAATGCCGTAACCCACCTGGCCCGGGTGATTGGCTGCTGGAGAGGCTGAGATTCACATGTACATGCTGCGAACACGGTCGACAAGCACACGACAACGCAAATGTCGTGGCTGAGAAATGACGGCTATGTACTACTGGTAGTAGGAAAAACAGGCTTTCGCGAAGTCGGGCGCCCCCTCATGCACGGTTACGGCTACCGAAACCAACCTTCCTTCCGGTACCCTGTCTTAACCCCGTCCACTCCATGCACGCTACCAGTACAAATCTACGGTGGAAAGCAGGGTGCTGGAGAGAAGCTCCCTGCTGAAGGGTCGAACTTTCGTCCAGCGCATGCAGCGACAGGATCAGTATAGGGTAGTACCGCTGAGGGTCAAGAACGATTCGAAGTGGCATGTGCTGTGTTGCCCTGCTCCCACCTGGCCCGGAAAGAAGACTGCCTTTAGTCGCTGCTTCTTCTCGACAGCCGCGCATACCAGGTCGAACCAGCGTTTGTACCACTCACATCCCCAGGAGGCTCTGCGACCCATCTTCTCCCACTGTTCTACAGCCTTCTTTGTAGCTTCTTCCTTCTCTTCGTCGGTTGCATCTTGACGGATGGGGACCGCGTTCATTGCAGCAGCTTTCTCCCAGTGCTTCTTGATTCTGTCATCCGTGTAAGGTGCCTTGAGGACTGAAAGGTAGCCGAACGCTTTGAAGTCTCGTTCGCCATATATCCGTGCACAGTAGCACTTGCCTGGATTCTGGGGATCATCAGCGTGCTTCCCCAAACCTCAGGATCAGAACGACTTGAGAGATGCGAAACCTGGGCAAACTCCTTCGATTCAAGCCAATGCAGCTTCAGAAGTGATGCACTGTGGTCAATCATAGGCAACTCATGCTTTGCTCATTCTTGCTCGAGACTCGCAGGTCAGGCAGGTCAGGCAGGCAGGCAGGCAGGCAGGCAGGCAGGCAGGCAGGCAGGCAGGCAGGCAGGCAGGCAGGCAGGCAGGTCGTAGGTAGGCATGTACTGCATGTAGCACACGCAATGTGTGTAAACTGTATATCAGTATGTGTATCTAGGCATGTAAGAAGGTATGTATGATGGATGGACGGACGGGTGGATGGATTGCCCGTACAAGTTCACATGGTTACCCAGCTGCGTACAAACGCAGTTGACACGCTCATGCATTTGTGCACTCGACTGCTGACTTTACAGTTCAGAGGCTGTTGCTTTGCAGAATACTATAGGGGCGTTCAAAAATAGTATCGGGTTTTGGTGCTTTTTGTTGTATATTTTCAATGCGGAGACCTGAGGAAATATTGGTATTCATTCCGGCTTATACAGTACGCTTGAGCTTTCTACTCCGTGGACTTGAGCTGAGGTTGGTGCCGTCCGCTGGGGAGCAGAGGAAGACACAGGCCACCGAGTCGAGGTGAAACTCCTGCCGGAAAGGATCTGATGTAGGTGCCTTAATCTTTAGGATTGGGTTTTGGGGTGTGTGTGTGTGTATGTATATATATATATGCCGGAAAGGATCTGATGTAGGGGCTTTCAAATTGAGAATAGGGTTTCATAGGGTTTAGGGTTTAGGGTAGGGTTTGGGGCTTAGGGTTCAGTTAGGGTTTGGGTTTGGGGGTTAGGGTTTAGGGTAGGGTTTGGGGAGTAGGGTTTAGTTAGGGTTTGGCGATTTGGGCTGAGGTTTGGGTAGGGTTTGGGGATTAGGGTTCAGGGTTTGGGGTTCAGGGTGTATAAGGGTTCAGCGTTTGGGGATTAGGTTTTAGGGTTTGGGGTTAGAGTAGGGTGGGGATTGAGGTTTAGGGTTTGGGGATTAGGGTATAGGGTTTGGGGTAAGGTTTGGGGATTAGGGTTTAGGGTTTGGGGACTAGGGTGGGGTTCAGGCCACCACTGAATGTGGTGAAACCCTATGCAACCTGCACAATCCTAAACCCTAAACCCTTATGACTTTGCTCCTTTGTCCGGTTTCAGCAGAACCCGTGAACCACGCTTAACACCGTCTGAAGCACGGGCTGGCTCCTTCACCAGCGCTTCCCAGCCTCTGCGGTGGAAGGCTTTAGAGCTCTCGGCTCGGTTCAAGAACATGGGATACCGGGCTTGCAAGGGCTTCGGGGACGGTACGGTTCGTAACCAAAGGTGTTGCACGACTTCGCATGTGGGCCGTCCCCGGACGATCTTGCAATGCGGATTTCTGAGTTTGGATCTCGGATACAGTGTGAAACCTCATCATGCCGCTAAACCCCAGGAACCAATGTCCTGCACCCTGCGAACGCAAGCCCCCAAACCCCGGCTCTTCCGGCCTGCGGCATACTTCCCCGGGAAGGAAATCCAACAGGTTTCGGCGTCATCCCGGATGTGCCCGTGGTAGCTGGGGTCGATTTCCTTCGACTCGGCAATCGCGGCTTCCTGGCAGGCGGGGCCCCGGCAGCGAAGCCGAACTGAGGTTGAGACTGCCGCTTCCAACCCTAAACCCTAAACCCTAAACTCTAAACCCTACACCCTAAACTCTAAACCCTAAACACCCTAAACCCTAAATCCTAAACCCTAAACTCTATCATCCTTGATGCGAGTCTGGCGGTGAAGTGTCTGTGCATGTACTCAGGGCTGGGCTCAGGACGCAGGCCTGGACCCCTTTTGTTTCGGGTTGGCTGTAATTCGGGGTGTAGGGTTTAGGTTGAGGGTTGAGGGTTTAGGGTTCAGGGTTGAGGGTTTAGGGTTCGGGGTTTAGGGTTGAGGGCTGAGGGTTTAGTGTTGTGGCTGCGGGCCCCCGTGCTCTAGGCCCCAACTTTGACTTGACTTCATGCTGGGGACGAGCACTCCCAGCTCACAGCGGAATCACAGCCAGCAAACGGTGGAATGACCATCAAATCGAAGCTGAATAATATGTCATGTCATATGGCCGGCAGCACGATGGCCCCACGAACACGCAGGAAATTTCACGCGCCAGAATAGCTAAATATTGGCGACTATTCCCACTACATTGATTCACGCCCGTTCCGTCCCGAAACGGGCAGGAGCAAGAAAGAGGCGCAAACCGCTCGAAAGAGACTAGAGCCTTTGCCAAGAGCGAGCATTTGCAAACGCACAGAGACATCACAGAACCGAACCAGCGATTTATCACAGAGAAAGCTGTGTCCGTCACGATTCCTGAGGGTTGCTCCGCTGGGCAATCTCAAACCTAACGATGTCTGAAATGACGGCCCTAACCTCAATCCCAAGACGAAAAGCCGATAACAACAGGCGAAAAGAACTACCATCCATTTCCATTTCTCAGACAGAACAGAACTTGCCACACCTAAACCCCTGAAAACCCTGCCCCCTGAACCCCTAGCAGAACCCCAAACCTAAACCCTCAAACTAAACTTGCCGAAGCCTAAACCCTAAAACCCTGCCCCCTGAACCCTCCACAAAAGTTGCTTTTAGCCTCCGAGCTTCTTCCTTGAGGCTCAAGAGCAGCGTCTCTTGCAATGTCCCCGCTGTCAGCCCCGAGCCTTGGATCCCTAAACCCTAAATCCCTTAACCCTCAACCCGGAACCCTAAACCCTAAACCCTGAACCCTAAACCTTAAAATCTTAAACCCCAAACCCTGAAACCTTAAAACCTTAAACCCTAAACTCTAAAGCTTAAACCCTTAAGCCCCTAACCCTAAGCCAATCTCCCATTCTCGACGCTGCCGCTGGGACCCGTGTTGTACGTCTTCGAACAGATGTACCACTCGGGTTGGTCCGTTGATCGGGGGATGGGGCTTTACGGGATTTAGACGGGGTCTGTTGGCAAATTGGTCCTTGGAAATTTGGGGCTGTGTTTGACCAGATTTTGCGGGCAGGGGTTCTTGACATTACTCCCTTTGTTAGGAAAAGTGAGCAAGTCCAGGGCATTGAGCCTTTTCAGGTGATGCCTTTGCGTAAACAGGATACTGACATATATACACACGTCAACATCCTGCTGCAATGAAGCGGTCTCTTGCATACCCCCCGGTACCAAGTCATAGCAAGCAGCCTCCGCCTCCTGCGTTGGCTAGCTGCCGTCGCACACTTGCAAGCTCAGCTAACAAGGCCTCCTGGTCCTGTTGCATTTTGGCCATTTGCTTCTCCATCTCCACCATCCGCTCATACTGATCAGCTTTGATCTCCCCCCGACCTCAAACTAATATACTGAAAGCAAGTCGACAATACGGTGATCTCGAATTACTGTTCAGGGGCGGTCATGACATCCCGCGCGAAACGCCATTTTTTGGATGAAGAAGCTTGGAAGTGCTCTCAGCAAGATAGGGGACCTGTGCACCTGCTCTATGAGGGCGAAGCAGTGCAGGATATCCGTCTCGCCTTAAACACGCAACCCTTGGAAGCGTGGCCCAATGCAGTCCGAGTTTCTGGGCTCTTCCCGTCGCTTGAAGGTGTGGAGCAACTGCGTGGGACGCGTGCAGCCATTCCCCATCAGGCCCGTCTGTTCGATGAGCCAGCTCACCTTCTTGTTGATGGGTGTACTTTTTTCGGGACTTACATAGATTTTGCAGTTGCAGCCTGGTCTGTGGTCTTGGCAAAGGAAGATTCTCTTGAGATGACAATTGTAGAATCAGGCGCTTTGCCTGGTCGCGTGCAGACGAATGACCGTGCAGATTTGCAGGCTGTCTTGTATGCGTGTAAGTACGTAAACTCCTCCTCAGATTCTTCTGAAAACCGTGACTGTGGCACAATGCGGAGTATTCCCGGAAGCAGACGAAGCCCAAAATGTTGAGCTCTGGAGATATGCCGAAGCTGACGAGCTAAGGGTTGAGAGAGGGACAACCATCACCTCTAACATGAAATCCCCTCCCTTTTGGAATCGAGCCTTGAATTTCCCCCCACC